GAAGAGGAAATGAGTTGTTGTTTCATGGGTATGAAAAAGTTCTAGAAATTGGTGGTACAACAATGTGCATACACTTAACAGTATTGAACTAGACACTAAAAATGATTAAGGTGGTAAATTTTACACTATGTGTATCTTACCGCAATTAAAAAAAAAAGAGAGAGAGATGGTAATACCATTCTCATAGGATTACGGCAAGGAGTAAGGTGAGATAACATACATAAAGCACTAAGCACAGAACCTAGCACGTAATACATGTTTCAGAAGCACCAGTCGGTATTTGTAATGAACAAATATGTAGCTTTTAGTAATCATAATAGGTGTGTGTGTATGTATATATATGGTTGTACCACTTTACTAAAAATGATTTTAGAAAACTCATGTAATTTTTATAAATCATGACTTTATCAGTATAATGGCCCACAAAGAATTTTACCTTGTGGACCTTAGCTTTATTTAACTGTCCTCTTGTGCCTAATTACTAGATCAAATGGTGTGAGCATTTTTTGTAAGTTTTATTTTATTTTTTACATAATGTGGAATGAATGACTTGAAAACCTAAGGCTGGATCTTTAGGAAAGGGTAATGTTATGTAGTAAGAGTTATGCCAGTAGGCAAATTCTTTGCCAACTGCTCAGCATTCAAATGTTTAAAAAAAAAAACAAAGAAAAAAAAAAAGGGAAAACACACTCTCATAGGGGTGGTATCTCGATTACGGTCTGATTAAAAATAAAGCATGTTGTATTCTTAATGCTAAGACTGGTATTACATAACCAATGCTCTACAAGGAGAAACACAGATCTGTCTGTTTGGGGCATCTTAAACTAATATAATCAGAGCCTTCCTACTCAAAGGAAGAAAATCACTAAACTTTAAGACATCTTTGAACAATTTCAGGGTTCTGTGTTGTGTGCTTCCCCAAAATTTTATCTTCTTCTTACTTTCCTAAGTAACAGATTCCTGATTTTTATTAAGATCCAATACTACCATCCCCTTCCCCCAACTAAAAGACTCCCAGCCTCCCTACCAGCTAGGGTGCCTAAGTGATCAAGTTCTGGCTAATGAAATAGAAGCAGAAGTTATGAATGCCTTTTAGAAAAACACTTTAAAAGGGAAAGGGTATGCTTTATCTTTTTTGTGTGTGCCTTCCTCCTTCCCACTGCACAGAAGTGACAGAAGAGACACCAGTCCCTCAGAACCACATGTACTCCAGCCCCTTCTAGGCCCACAGGTGTCACACAGCTACTTTCCCCAAGAAGAGACCAAAGGCAACTGCTGTCTCTAAAACTCCCTGGAGACCCAGAGATAGTTCAGAGAGAAGTGTCCTTCTGAAGTCTCCCTAGCAAAGAAACTCCCCTTCCCTCACCCCCAGTCCAGCCTGGAAAAAAGGGATAACCCAAACAGCCTCTACTGAACCAATGACACCCCAGAAAACGTGGAAATGTCCCATGGTCCCTAGCCCTGAGTCCTGGAGAAGTGGGACCCTGGGCAAATTCATTTTACTTCTTTGAGTTTCCACTTTACCTTTTGTAAAATGGAAACCATCTACCTATCTGCCCTACTCTGCAGGATGTTATGTCCAAATGAAACTGTGGATACAAAAGCACCTGAATTTGCAATGAAATAAAAATATATAGATGGCTAATGATATTGAGAGCCAGGGTCAAGAAAGGGCAGAGAGGGAGACTTTCAGAACATATCTTAAAGATACCCTTATAAAAGTATACAGAGAAATACGAACAATGAGGTTCAATTCAGCATTATTTGTAACATATAAAAGTTACATAAAATAAAATACGGCACATCAATACAGCCAAATACAATGTAGTTAATAAAAAGATGAGACAACTGGTAAAACAAGAAATGAACAGTGTATCAGTTGGCATAATGGTAGTTACTGCCAGAACTAAAACCAGAAGTGGTTAGAAGGGGTTACTTCAACTTCCAGTTAAACGAGATGATGGCAGGAACAAAGAGCTCAGAAGAGACAACAGTGGATGAAAGATGTCAATACACCTGGGAGATGAAAGGCAAGTGAAGGAGTCTGCAGATCAAAGAAAGCAAGATACCTCCTGGCCAAGGAGGTAGACATCCCTGAGAAAAGTTCAAACCCCAGAAACCTGGAAAAGCTCAGAACCTGGAGATGTAAGGAAGCAGAAAATCTCCAAATCTGGACACCAGTCAGAAGTGGGGAGAGATGCTGGACTGTGAGCAGAGCACTGGATAGGAAGACCTTCAGCCTCCTTTCCTTGGTTGGCTCCCAAAATACCAGCAGCCAGGTAAGATCCTTCTTGCAAGAGGAATCTCTCTCTGGAGAGACCAAAGAGCCCTGAGAAAATATCTACAGGGTCCAGATATTTAGTGGTTCCCCACCAAAATGATCAGGTCTCTGTTTAGTGACGCTACAGTGAAGTCCATCAGTGGACAAACACTATCTAGGCACAAAGCATAAAATCAACCTTTTCATACTACACATTTAAATATAAACAGATTACAAAGGCTCAACACCTAACTGAATGATGCTTTTAATACAAAAGGAGGAGACCAAATAAATAACTGAAAAACTTGAGGGGAAATAGAGACAATGCAAGGAGCAAAAGAAAACTTAAAAACGGCAAAAAAATGCATCAACTAATATCCTCAGAGAAATAAAAGATACTGCATATACAAACAAGAACAGGATGCTATTTAAACAACAGCAATTAGAGAACATGGAAAAGTTCTTGGAAATTCAAAGTACAAGATCTGAAATAAAATTCAATAGCAGAGTCAGAAGACAAAGTTTAAGAACTCTCCTTGAAAGAAGAATACAAGAAAAAAATAGGAAAAAGAGGAGGAAAAAACTTAAGAAAATCAGAGGATGAGACCAGGAATCCAACATCTAAATGGCAGGGGTTCTAGCAAGAAAGAAAAGACAGAACGGAGAGAGGGAAACTATCACAGAAATATTTCAAGCAAACATCTCAGAGCTGAAGGCAAGATTATTCATTGTGCACCAGAGCAATGAAGATAAAGGGGAAGATCCTAAAAGTTTCAAGAGAGCACATGCTGGTCACACGCAAAGGACTAAGAACCAGAATGGCAACAGAGCTCTCAATAGCAAATCTGGAAGCCAGAAGATAACAGAGCAATGCTTTCAAAACTCTAGGACAAAGTAATTTCCAAACTGGAATGCCATGCTGAGTCAAACAACCAATCTATATGAGGAGACTACATGAGAGAAGAATAAAGATTTTCAAACATGTAAGAACTTACAAAAATCTACCTCCAATGGTTGCTTTTTTACGAAGTTTGTAGAATTAAGACTTCACCAGAAAAAGGGAGTAAATCAAGAAGAGATGGGATCCAGGAAGCAGGCAAAGAGTCCGAAGAGGTCTACAGAATAACTGACCCAGACTAGAGCAGGAGGGGACAGAGGGCTGCAAGATGGATGTCTCAAAAAAAGGGGAAATGTCCAACCATGTGAAAAACAGAAATCAGATGGGTTTTACAAATCTGTTACAGTTTGGGAAGAATTAGTACACGATAACCAAACAAATGAAAGCAATTAACCAACTGGTCAAGATCAGATCTGTATTTGTAAATTACACTTGTTTCCAATGAACAATAATTAAAAATAAATAATGAATATTGATTTAACAAAGAACTGTGATGTCTCTACACTGGGAGAATGTAGGAAGGGAAACTGGGGGCGTGGAGCAATACAAGAATGCTAATTTGAATTCTCCTCTTCTGTAACATGATGTCGGTAAAAGATGTAAACTGATAAATCAGAAAATAGCAAAATAAACCTACATTTAGAAATGGAAGTAAACATCCAAAGAAAAAACTAAAAAGTTTGGGAAGTAAAACTTTAGGATGGAGCAGGAGACTGCTTTTATATTACTCTTGACTTTTTAAAGCCATGGTCACAAATTACTACTAATAAATAATAATTTAAAAAAAACCTGATTACCTCTAGAAGGGGAGATTAAATGAGGTACTGGAGTGAGGAACTTTTTTCCCCTCCATTTTATTCATTTCTGTATTACTTGAATTTCTTTTAAAAAATCATATGTGGCTTTTACATTTAGAAAAAAGACACATTAGACAATTCGAGAGACTGTCAGTCTACAGAAAGGCAATAAACATTGGGGCAGAAAGGCATAGTTAAGAAATTTCAAAGAGAGACTCTCTAAAATTTAGTGATTTACCAATGTGTTTAATCACATGGATTAGAACACTTCTCCTATATATATAAATACAGAAAAATTGTAATACTAAACCTATGGAAATCTACCTTCAAGAGCCAGTAACTGATTTAGTAAGTCACTTAGTGACAGGTTAAATTTGGGAAGTGCAGAAGTCTAGGACAATTCCAGGTATGTATGTGATCATCCTTGGAAGGTAAGTTAACTATTTATACTATTTTACCCAGTCTACAGAGCTGTCAACTTTTTTTCTTTTCTTTTTTTTCCTATTAGCTGCAAATGGTTCAGATAATGCTTATTTTTATTACTGGTGTCATATCCCCTAAAGGTCTCTGATCAAATTTCTTCTTCAATACACTCAAACTTTTTTTTAGAAGATGAAAGTTGTTCATTATGTATTTGGCATTAGAATATTTATTTCAGAACAAAATTTGAACCCCGGTACATCATATTCACTTTTGAAATGGCTGTTTTCCACAACCTCAAATATTGAGGCTTTCTCGAGCATGACTTTTTACCTTTCCTTAGATGGAAAAACCACTCTTTAAGGCAGCTCCTGAAAATAGGGAACTTGCAGCTCACTCACCTGATGTGTGACTACAACTAAGAGTACAATTAAATAAAGAGTTGTTGAAACGCATAGATGATTCGTGTTTCTATTCCACCCTGCTCCTCCTCAAAACCAGTTCGATTCTACAGGCGTTTCAGCATCTCACTAGACACAAACATTATTAAATGAGGTTGGCAGCGGGAGGCTGCAAGGCTCTGAAAGTGGTACCACCAGCAAAGCTGAAGCAATGCAACATTTACCTTTACTCGTCTCCGTTTTCTCCCCTTTTCTTCACCTGGAACCTGCTTCTCTCCTTTCTTTCTCTTTTTCCGCTTTCTGTCCTTGTGTTTGTCATGATCGTTTTTGTCTTCGAAAAGGCTGGAGTCGTGCCCGGAGCTGCCCGTGGAGAGCTCGGTGACTTCGTTCCCTCCCACTTTGAGGACCAGCTTCAAGGGCTTCTCTACATACTCTTAAAAAGAAGGAACGGGCCTCGATTAAAGGAGGGCCTCGCTGGGCAGTATCCACAATGCAGAGGGACCCCTGGGTGGAGAGAAGGAGGCGCCCAGGAAGAGGCGGCCGGGGGCACGCCGTGGGCGCCCCGCGAAGCACCTGTTGAATGACGGACACTCGCCAAGTGAGCGCTCCGAACGCTGCCGGGCCCCTCGGGGCCGTCTCACCTCCCAACAGGAGACCCGCCT